GAACTCGCCGAGCTGGACGTCCTGCGCGACCTGCTGGACAACTCGCCTCGCCTCCTCAGGAACATCAACCAATTAGCTATAGAAATCCATGATGATTATCGCTTTGGTACTGTCGTTGGGGTTTTACATGTTTGCAGAGTGTATGTTTGTATGTATGGGTCTGTTGGCATGTAATAGTGTTTGTATTTAAGGGGCAAGGCTTAAGAGAGGGTTTAGGTGTTGACAGTGTGTATATGTATCTGTATGTGCTTCTTGGTATTTGGTGTGTTGATACTGAAAGAGCGAGACTAATGGGAATAAATCTATACTAAATAAAAGGCATTATTCATTGTTTCGTTGCATTTCTTTTCTTTTTTTTGTGAAAATATGAAAACACTGGTATCTCTTTAGCAACTAACTGAGGCATATCACCAAACCATATTCTCCCCACACTGTATAAATAACACAGCTGTTCCCTCGTTATAATTTCATAACCACTGTTCTTAAATGACACCTCCCGCCTTCCTCGCCCACAGGAGACTTTGGCCCCAACAGCACCGTAAGGAAATTCTGGCCGTTTTTCCACAGGCTTCGGTGTCACGGTTTCTCCATCATGATGTCACAAGCGAATGTGCTTTGGAGGGAAGTGGTGTGGGGTCGGGACACTGCTGGCATCCCCTAGGCAGAATAAAAGCAGTGACGAGTGATAAGTAACTGTGAAAAAAGCATTGACGAGTAATGTGTGACAGTGAAAAAAGCATTGACGAGTAATGCGTGACAGTGAAAAAAGCAGTGACGAGTAATACGTGACAGTGAAAAGACATTGATGAGTGCTGACAGTGAAAAAAGTGACGAGTGATAAAGACAGTAAAAAAAAAAGCAGTGACGACTAAAAAAGTTTAAAAATCAGTGATAATTGAGTCAAAAAAAAAACTTGTGGCGAGTGATAAGTGACAGGAAACTAGAGCAGTGTTGTTTTAGTTGAAATTATGACGATTAATTATAATCTGATCTCGAAATACAAACCTGATGAGTCATAGGGACGAGTGAGATGCAAATGAAAAGACAATTCAAAGGTTGCTTTTATGTGTGTGTTTGCAGACAGAATGAAATATTTGTTTGTGATCAAATAAGTGAATATATATTTTTATCCAACCATAGGTTGTTGTTTTTCTAACCTCAAATACATACATATATATATTTGTGTGTGTGTGTGTGTATACAGTAAGTATATAAATATATGTATATATATAAGCATATATACACGTATGTATACAAACATGTATATATATATAGTCATATACATACCCTTATATACAAATGTGTTTATAAGTATATATACTATATGTATATGTATGTGTGTTTTTTTTTCTTTTCTTTTTTTCTTTTTTTAGAGAGAGAGAGATGGCGGGAGGGTGGGAGAGAGGGAGAAAGAGAAGGAGGGAGGAAGTGAGAGCGAGAGAGAGACAGAGACAGAGAGAGAGCGAGAGAGAAAGAGAGATAGAGAGAGAGAGAGAATGAGGGGTTTTGGATGCAAAGACGAAACAAAATGAAAGGCTTTTCAAATGTCACCTGAGATATTCCCCTCATTAGGCAGTTTTACATAAAAGTTAGCATTTTCAGGGTTTGCTACCTGTATGGGACACACCCTCCCTTAAAAAAATATATAGCTGCAATACACGAGTATTTTTGTATACATTAATGATTATATGCAACAGTATTAACATTGTTGTAATGATGCTGTCTCGATTATTGTCACTATTGGCAATAATGATTATACCCTTATTGGCATTATTAGTAAGAAAATAAAACATATTTGAGACCACATCTTTTTCCGATTTTTAGGTAAATCACACTCGTACGTTCTGATAATAACAATAAAAAGACGATTTGTTTTCAAGCAAATCGACCGCAGAAATTTTGAATAACGAAAATGGGAGGAACCAAAAAAATGAATGAATAAATAAAGGAATGAATAACTGAAAGAACCGAAGAAAATGAGAGAAATGAAGAAAATGAAACACTCATTGACAGAGTTTCCATTAACATCTAGTTTTAGAATGAAATAACGCAACCAATATAGACACATATACAAATATTATTTTATACAAATATTATAATTCTATTTTATCTTCCATTACGTTTCACTTTATTTCGCCTTCTTAGAGCCATAATAATGCCGATCATCGCTAAAATTCGTGCAGGGTTCGAAGCCATTTTGTTTTTACGTTTTAGCTTTCTTTCTCTCTCTCTCTCTCTCTCTCTCTCTCTCTCTGCTCTCTCTCTCTCTTCCTCTCTCTCTCTCTCTCTCTCTCTCTCTCTCTTCTCTCTCTCTCTTCTCTCTCTCTCTCTCTCTCTCTTCCTCTCTCTCTCTCTCTCTCTCTCTCTCTCTCTCTCTCTCTCTCTCTCTCTCTCTCTCTCTCTCTCTCTCTCTCTCTCTCTCTCTCTTCTCTCTCTCTCTCTCTCTCTCTCTCTCTCTCTCTCTCTCTCTTTCTCTCTCTCTCTCTCTTCTCTCTCTCTCTCTCTCTCTCTCTCTCTCTCTCTCTCTCTCTCTCTCTCTCTCTCTCTCTCTCTCTCTCTCTCTCTCTCTCTCTCTCTCTTCCATGGCTTTGTATCACCAACTGTTGTCAACAAAACAATCAAACAAGCTTCAAAATGCCTGTCTGTATTCAAGGGATTGGTATTATTACGATCAATATGAGAAAATACTAAACAATTAAAATTCCCCGGTATTGGATATGGAAAAGGCACGGTATAGTCAAATAAAAGTGTTTTTTTTTGTCGACTAAGTAACCGGGAAATAAAACCGGTATTGGATATGAAAAAGGCACGGTATAGTCAAATAAGTGTTTTTTTGTTGTTGTTGTTGACAAAGTAACCGGGAAATAAAACCGTACTATATCCGGTTTAAAACCCGCACGCGAGCCCAGAAGAGCAGTTGTAACCTACAAGGTACTTTACAATGTGTGACGTCATAACAAGTGTGACGTCATAACGAGTCATTTTGCTTCGAGTATGACTTTCGTGATAGTGTGCATATACGTAGATAAATATGGATATATTATGTACGTGTGTATGCCAACATGGATGTCTGAAGTGAACAGAAATTGTGTGTAGATAGAACTCTGTCCTGCTTCAACAACAGCAAGGGATAAAGAAAGCGAAGAGGAAGATGAGGAGGACATTGTAGAAAGACAAAGGAACGGAAGAAGAAAGAATAAGTGGAAGAGGAAAATTTGGATAAAAAAAACAATAAATGACAAGAAGAAAGCAAGAGGGAAGAGAGAAAAAAAAACGTATGAAATGTAAAATAAAGATAATAATATCATGAACTTTAGATATATACATTTGTATAAAATATATACATATGTATATATACATATATGTATATTCTGACTGTGTATATATACACACACATATATAAGGCCTTTTTTGTAACATTTTCGAAACCCCTAAGACATTCACACACTCAGACCGCGATATTTTTCGGATATATTTCCCGTAGTCTCAGATCACGAATCACGCGTTCGAGTCCTTTGACGTGGTATTGACTTCGGTGGGATGAATGTCTTCAAAATCATTCTGTGCGTCTATGGTATAACCTTACAAGCTCAAAAATATGAAAGTGAATGTTGTGTATGTTGATTTGTTGATATATTTCAATCAGTAAATCAAGTGAATGTACGTGATCATTGCAATTGGCCGTTTTTTACTGTTTTGGACCCGCGGTGGATGCAACAAGATGCAAAACCTTATTTGAATTCCACTTTTCATGTGAAGAACAGGGTATGTAATAAAAAAAAATATTTTGACTGAATTTGAGAACTGCATTTTAAACTTTCCACAGCATTGCGAAGCGGAGAATAGTGTGTATTATACAAAGTTGCAGAGTAAATAGGTACTTTTTCCATCTTATTTGGAGCTTCCACTCTCTCTCTCTCTCTCTCTCTCTCTCTCTCTCTCTCTCTCTCTCTCTCTCTCTCTCTCTCTCTCTCTCTCTCTCTCTCTCTCCCTCTCTCTCTCTCTCTCTCTCTCTCTCTCTCTCTCTCTCTCTCTCTCTCTCTCTCTCTCTCTCTCTCTCTCTCTCTCTCTCTCTCTCTCTCTCTCTCTCTCTCTCTCTCTCTCTCCTCTCTCTCTCTCTCTCTCTCTCTCTCTCTCTCTCTCTCTCTCTCTCTCCTTCCCTCCTCTCTCTCTCTCTCTCTCTCTCTCCTCTCTCTCTCTCTCTCTCTCTCTCTCTCTCTCTCTCTCTCTCTCTCTCTCTCTCTCTCTCTCTCTCTCTCTCCTCTCTCTCTCTCTCTCTCTCTCTCTCTCTCTCTCTCTCTCTCTCTCTCTCTCTCTTTTTGCTTGTAACTAAAACATACCAGCATATTAAGTAATTTTATGGTTTTCTATTGACTTTTTAATGTGAAAATCAGTACAAACTTCTATGATATCGTGCACTGTAGCGACCGTGATACAACTTGAAACAATGTATCAAAGTATGTGTATATGTATATATATATATATATATATATATATATATATATTTTTCTTCTTTTTTTTTCTTTCTTTTTTTTTTCTTTTTTTTTCTTTTTTTTTGGGGGGTGGCTAGATCCCACGATTACCAATATTTTGGGAGGTTTAATAAAAAAAAGAAAACATTGAATAAAAACATTTATTCACGTATTTCATCACAAACAAGTGTTTCAATCTACCCATACATAAAACATTGTATTGCCATCTACATATCACTTGTCCCTGTGACTCGTCATGTCTGTCTTTAGGGATAACATTATTGTTTTAATAATAATTTTCGCTGTTATCTACCTCTCGACACTGCTTTTTTCACTGTCACTCAACACTCGTCACTGTTATTTTGGACTGTCATTTCTCACTCGTCACTGTTATTTTGGACTGTCATTTCTCACTCGTCACTGTTATTTTGGACTGTCATTTCTCACTCGTCACTACTTTTTTCACTGTCGTTTAACGCTTGTCACTTTTTTCACTGTCACTTATCACTCGTCAATGTCTTTTCACTG